GCTGACTAGTGGAGTCCTTAATAAAGAAGTCGAGGAATCCCATCGGTGAAGTCACACAGAAATGTAAACTTCCCTGCTCGACGAGCTGTGTGCACAATCGTTGTGGGAGCGGGTAACTTCTTGATGATGTCTTTCTTAGAAATGATGAAATCGTCCATTCTCATTAATCAAGAATGTAGGTATTATCTTTATGCTTGACGACTAAACTCTCGTTGACAGAAAAACTACCTTCACACTCTTCGCCCATCAATAACGTTCAACCCTCTATATAATGCACAATACGTGATTTGGCGCGACACAAATTTTACAACCGCAAAAATCCCTCAATGACTCTCGTAATCTAGCTCTTCAATATCGCTTTCACCCACTTTCTATGAATTGCAATCTTCGGAGCCACTTATCCTCTGATGAAGATACGGTGTTGTGACATTTCCTTTTGAATAATGACTTTTTAGCACTCTTTTGGACTGGTTGACTGGACTTTCGTTTTTTACTACATGCAATTTTAGATTGCTTGGCAGCTAGTGCCTCTGCTATGTTATTACAGACTGGAGTATCGGTAGATATTGGTAGCCCCTCTCTTGCGACCTCTGTTGGTAACCTTTCGTGGACCAGCTTTTGGAAGTGGGACAATGTCAGCAGGAGATACATAACGGTCACTTGGTCCTGGCTGGGCAGCTGGTGTTGCAGCAGAACTTGTTCCTGCTGGCAGCTGGTGTTGCAGCAGAACTTGATCCTGGCTGGGGATCGAGTGTTGCAGCAGAACTTGATTCTGGCTGGGATCGGTTTACCAGAGTTGCAATCCTTGCAGCATAACTGGTCCTGGCTCGGATCGCAGGTTGCAGCCATAACTTTGGTCCGGCTGGGTATTCGATGTGTGCCAGCATAACTTGTCCTGGCGGGGATTCGAGTGTTGCAGCATAACTTGTTCTGCTGGGGATCGAGTGATGCAGCAGAACTTGTTCTGGCTGGGGCATAGTGTTGCAGCGATAACTGGTCCTGGCTGTGGGAGAATTGCAGCAACTTGGGCCGGCTGGGATCGAGTGTTTGCAGCAGAACTTGGCCTGAGCAGGCTGTGGATCGAGTTTGCAGCAAACTTGCGTTCTGGCTGCGGGAGTCTCGATGTTGTTGCCCAGCATAACTTGGTCCTGGCTGGGGATCGAGTGTTGCAGCAGAACTTGGTCCTGGCTGGGGATCGAGTGTTGCAGCAGAACTTGGTCCTGGCTGGGGATCGAGCGGTGGAGTAGAATGATCTGTAACTGTGGCTGGCGAAAAATCTGTTTCATCAAACAAATCGCGGTTGTAAGGAAAAATGCCTGTACTTTGAAAGGCTGATACAATATTTTTCGCAGTGAGGCCATGCAACTGAGCATGAGCAGCAAATTCAGGGATTTCATAGATTGTTATTGTTTTTCCGGCATTTGAACGCATCCAGTTATCCATAGCTCGAGCATATGCCGTCTTGAAAGGTTTGAAACAGCACACATCAAGAGGCTGGAAGCCCCCGATGTTGACTGGTATGTGGTGGCATTGTTAGTAACACTACGCCATTTTCTTTGGCCAGGTCAATGGCTGCCAGTGAGATATGTGCATCATGATTATCTAAAATCAGCAAAACTTTCATCTCCTTGCTGCATCTTGTGTGGCGTATGAAATGTCGAAGATAATCGATGATAGATCTTCAATTGATCCATCACTCGATTTGCGCCTGCAATTACACCCGGGGGGCCATTTTTGGTGAAATATTCGCGAATTTTTTCGTGGGAATATAAGCATAGGTGGAACGACACTACCCGCTGCGTTAATGGCGTACACGGCAGTGACAAGTTGCCCCCTTTCAGCAGAAGTGACTGACCCCACTTGCTTCACACCTTTTCCAGCTACAATGTTTTCGGGTTGCGAAACTGTCGTGCATCCAGTCTCATCAACATTATAGATATCGTGACATTCGAATTTGTGCAGGTCCATAACTTTTCCGAGTTTGTCGTAGAATTTGCCCACATTATACTGGTTAAATGCACTAGCCCTACCAAGCGAGGTTGCCTCTGGTGTTCGGATTGAAAGGTTGTTCCTTTCCTTAAACGATATCCAAAAGTGTTCGCCAGTCATTCGATTTTGCTCCCAAGAATTCGGCACAGTCACATTGTTTCTCAAAGCATATTTAATATTCGGCAATCAATGCACGACATTTGTTTCGTGTCAAACCATGGAATTGTCCAGCCAAGGTCTTAATATGTGTGCCAAGTCAGTTTCCATATCTGCAGAAAAAAATCATGTTTTTCAGTCGACAGTTTCCATAACCAAATGCCTTATTCTGTTCATCATGTTGTCCATTTTCGCCACCATGCTTGTCAATGTATCTCTTTAAAGTCATTCTGGCAATATCAAAATCCTTGGCAGCTGCACGGATACTACATCCTCCCCTGACCTGTTCCATTGCTCTATGTAAAACATCTTCTGGCACCCTCGATTTGATTTTCTTTTGTATTTCGTGGCATCTGAAAACAATTATGACATCACTATTAAGACATGAAATATTTCAATAGATGCAGTCTGCAGAACTTTACCAAACAGACCTACAATACAATCTGCCGCACATTATACTTTAGAGAAAAGATTATTCACTAAATGTAAATTATGGGAGACTTGGGACACCATAAAGGGAGAGTTGGGCCGTGACCCAACACTCCCCTCCACGAGTTGTCCCCAACTCTCCCCCATATTTTTTTTCTTTTTTTTATATTTTTTTTTTTTTGTTTTTTTTTTTTTTTTTTTTTTTTTTTTTTTTTTTTTTTTTTTTTTTTTTTTTTGTTTTTTAATTTTATTTTTTTTTTTATTTGTTTTTGTTTTTTTTTTTTTTTTTTTTTTTTTTTTATTTTTTTTTTTTTTTTTTTTTTTTTTATTTTTTTTTTTTTTGTTTTTTCCGGCCATTTTTAATTTCGGTCAGATATTAGCAAAAGCAATGACCACATGGATTTCTCAAATACCATGATGGGAGAGAACTGTCACAGTTACCTTGCAGAATATTCAAGAACAGTGTTCTATATAGTATTGAATAGATATAAAATTTCTTACCTTCGAGTCAAATTTTTAGTCTTTTGTGCAGTTTTTATTCTTCTGGCAAAAACATCGACATAGAGTCTGAACTTTTCATATCCCTTATATCAATATAAATATAATACCTCGGACTTCCCCTATGTGGCAGCACCTGCCCGCTACCACTTGCTGCTTCCATGAAATCGGGGGTGGCCCAACTCTCCTGCTGCCAATACTTCCCAGTTGAAAGCTCCTACTAGTCTACTAGTACTAAATATTATATTTAGAATAGTGCAGAAATACTAGTACTAATCAATATTTAGCTTCTGCCGAGTTCGGCGGGTGGGCTTGCGGCCAAACGGTGTCTTTCCACTCTCAGAAATTCCATTGCAAATGTTATTATTATTAATTATTGTTTTATTTAAACTAAACGTAATCGCTGACGAATGTTCGATTATGAATGAATGCAGTTCGTATGTCCGGCTTGCGTAACAGCTGACTCGGCTGCAAAATTAGAACAAATCGTCTGCCTGTTCCCGAAATGTCACTGCGGGATTCGAACAAGGAAGGAAGTTCGGCCATCGAAGTTTTTAATAGCTGCCGATGGTGGTTTCTGTCAACGCTAGTATTGCTCGCCCACTTAACATTAACATTAGACTTAAAATTAATCGTAACTTTACGAAGTTTCTGACAATGGGCCCCAGGTAGACATGCGAGTGGCGCCGCCCGGTGGGGCGCAGCAGTACTAGTAGTCACAGGCTACTACAACTATTTATCACGCATTTAATACCTGGTATGAAGAAGCGCTTTCCCTGCTTTTAATATGCTGTAGAAGGAAATCCAATGCCTTTAGCAGCCACTCTTTCCGTTTTGACAAGTTCTTTCTTGCACTGCCTGATGGTGGAATTTTTATTACCAGCCCATGCCCATTCCTCAGACTCGACATCCTTTTTGGTAATCTCAATGGCTGAAAGTGATAAATAAGAATAAGTAAACAAAGTTTAAAGCACAAGTAAATTATCTCCTGAATATTTGTCAATATTGGCCTATTCACCTGCTGGAGAGTGTTAAACGTCAACTTATAATGCAATATATGACTTAGGATAATCATGTGACTCGACATGTAGTGGTGATTGGCGGGGACTCACGATTTGATGCCAACCAGCACGTAGAAATAGAACCGTTTCTATTCCTGTGATTGCAGTCGGCGACCGCTAATTTCAATCGTAAGCGGTCGTAAGAGAACTCATGTCGAGTATAGTCACCGATCGTCGGCGACCAGATCGTAAGGGCGACCTGAGTGTGGCTTAACACTAACCAACAAATTGAAGTATGTAAGGTGCTGCTAAGTTGTTTTTCTGAACTAACACATGTAGATGAGCATCTACATTGGGCATTAGTGGTATTTATGAATTATTTGTTACAAGCCACGCCCAAAATGAATGTAGCTCTGGTGCTACAAGGGGTCATAAAGGGGGACATTTGGTGACACTTTTAAGCAGAGGAATCCCTTAGTATCATGCTGCTTACTCTACATCGTCAATATTAGACGCATGATGCTTGCTGCCCTGATTGTAGGACAGAAGGTGTTGTGGTGAGGTAAGCTACTAATTTCGATTGAAAACTGTCAACCTTATATTAATTTGCTAATATAAAACTGTTGATGTTTTTTGACAATGACCCCCTTATTCCACCTTTCTGCTTTTACTCTTATCCCGTGTAATCGCTACTACCATGTAAAAGGAACCAGCCTTCTATGGTGAGCTGAAATGGCAGAAAATCGATGGCAGCGCCCACGATAAATAATCATCTAACCGCGTAAAAATATTAGTCTTCAAGTTTATTAGACTATATTGAAGATGGAAAGAGACTATATAGCTAGTTCATATAAAATAATTATGGGTAATCAGGGATGTTCCCAGAAAGTGTTGAGTGCCGGGTAATCAGACATCAAATCCCCCCAAATTATTAAAAACGACATTTGAAATATCAATGATTGTGTTGATTGTGTTGATTAGTAAGTCAATAGGCATGTATAATCAACTTTTTTATAGTTTAATTGAAAGTAAAACAATTTGACAACAAAATCACCTTGGAATACAGGAATTTACTTTTTTTACAATTTAATTCAGTTTCAATCTCCTATTGGATCGTCTCGCCCACAAATCTACTGCCTTGTCAAAAGGAAACTTGTCAATTGAAGGCCCTTCAATAACAAAGCGCATTATTCCATCCAAAGTAGATTGGCACATTCTATTTTTCAAGGCAGACTTGATCAACTTTATCTGAATAAAGTCTCATAATCCGCAGTGTGAGGTATGAGGGTGAGGTGTGAAGGCCCTGTAACACCTAGCCAACCAGGCCATTATTGGGAAAACACGGGACAAGTCTGGGTCAGTATTCAATTTTTCAATGATTAGACTCATTTGTAAGTCTTTCAGGTGATTCTTTTGGTAGCTTTTATAAACAGACCATTCGTTCAATGCCTTATTTTCAGGAAACTGTCGGCTATTGCTATATATTTATTATACATAGCGTGCAACACAATACAATCATACGTACATTAAATCAATTACAATACAATTACAATTACAATCAATTACAATATAATCTACATTTAAATTCAGAATGACTACTCTACACTAATCTATTGTGCACTATCTCCATTATAACATTATCTATAACTGCAATCTATACTAATATCAATTGAAAAAACGCTCGTGTGCTAACCAAATCGATCTAGACGTTTCCGTCATCCTTGTACCGTTCACTTACTCCCTTTCTCATGATCAGTGACTTCCCTACAAAGAAACATACCAACAATCCACATTACTCACCTTAATTTCACAACAGCACACCACACAATTACGAGCATCCTTGTATATCGTATCAGACAAATAAATGCAAATTTATATGTCAAATGATCAAAACAAACTATAACTGTTGACAGATGTACGCTTTGCAACAAGAAAAATATAACAATACTTTTAGTGTTTCTATTCATGTCTCATAAATGCACAGCCCCATTATATTGCCTCTTCTGACGTTCCTTTCCATCCAAACACACTTAACATGAATACAACTGCCATGATCTTGCAAGTATAACCCGATAGCTCACATTTTCTGTTGCAACTATAATTCAAATACAATGTGTACTACATTTACCATGATTTACGACATTATACATTTACCTGATTTTTACGATCTCGCTCTTGCTGGCCGGAAACGTCACTTCCATTTTGTCCAACCCATGAATTATGTCTTCTTCATTGCCAAGCATGTCGAACAATTCCCAAGTCATTGTCAACATCTTAGCTGACGTCCCCGTTACGATTTCCACCGTCACAGTGTCACTACAATAACAACATTTTCATCAAGTCACGTGTGAGCAAAAATGTCACTTATGCGTTGACGTTACTCCACGCATTTCAAGAACCTTTGTATCGACCACTAATTATCTGTCTAAACGTCATGTGTGTGTGTTTACAACACCAAATTCATTTGCTAATACTACTACAATTATACTCTACATACCCTTCAATGTCAAATCCTCTCAGTATTCCCTGCCGTTCCCCTTCATCTGACACTGATGTAACCTGCATCAAAAACACTGTTTACCACACCACTACGAGGCATAAATAAGTGCAGCTGGAATACATACAAATAGGTATCAAGATTAGTCGACGTTCATACATTTCTTTGTAACAATCATTCAGACTTTTTCTGCAAATCCAATATGATGCATGTCATCTATACGTTCAATATGTCTATGACACAAGTCTTTCTCAATACGATAGCGATAAGCCAGCCATATAGACATGCTACATGCTACATAGATCTGAATAGCATGTCCAGCCTATAACAGTAACTATGACGATTTACCAAATAAACTAAAGCTCCCTTGTCACAACACCTGAAAACCTACCTGTATCTTAGTACTTTTGGTGAAAGTAGCTTTCTTTTGTGACCCGAATATGCCGATCTCCAAGTTTTCAATGTCCACCTCATCCCCGTCACTCACTGCTATCTCTACGGCCCGCTGGCCCCAAACTTTGATGGGCTGCTTCACAGGGCTGCCGGCAAAATCACAGACGTTAAATTGTGCTCGCTGCTGCGTTTGAGTACTGGTACTTGGTAACGCCTGCGTTAGAACAACTTGCAAAATAGACGCACACAGATTATGTACATGTAAATCACTGTTCAACACACTCCAAAACAGTTGCTCGCATAGCCAAAATCACAGCAGACATTTGACGAAAGTTACGTGTTTATCTACTTCACAATGATGTTGCACTGCAACGTGCATGTGCTACTGACATCCCAATATCATACTTACATCACTGGCTATCCCGGACACGCTGATCCGTCTTTGCTTCGGTGACCTCAACGGTTCATCAATTGTAACCTTTGGCCAATGTCCAAAATCTCTGACCACATCCATATCGACATCGAACTTGCCACAAATCATCACCTACGCATAAAAAAACCTTGATTTATACATACAATTTCGTTTCCGTACTTCATCCACACAATTAGATAGTATTCCACATTTTGCTGTAAACATCAATATGGTTGCCGAAATGTTGCACGCCTCGAGCCATACTACTATACTTTTAACGCTGTTCCACATCACATAACTAAAATTATTGTAACAGCATGCTCGACACACGCAATACGTTGTACACAGAGATATGTAGTATAATCAATGAATGAACGCGTATCATTTTCTCTACATACTTATATATCTATATATATATTGAGTAATACATCTATACATACCGTCGACCGATCGTGGAGAGAGAAACTGTCGTCTCTGACTTCAGGGTTGCCCACTTGCACGAAGCGACTCTTGTTAAAAAACTTTACGTTCGTCCTCTTGCGTTCCTCGTTGAGAACTGGCACACGCCAGAAAACTACGTTTTTTCCTTGCCTTTCCTCTGGCGTATCCAGGACGTAGAATTTCACTTTGAGCAGACTCATATTGGACAGCAATTTCCGAAGAACTACGGATACCAAATCCACGTCTTCTTTTATACACACTTGGCATTGCAGCCCCCTACTGCCTATGGGAAAGCAAACTTTCACTACCAAACACGATAATTCACACTCACACACCAATATACACATGTTCACCTCCAAATAGAAATGTAGCTGCCTGCCGCATTATGTAATCGAAAAGCACACGAGTCCATGGCCCACACTCTGTGCCATGCATTAGCGCTTGTAACAATGCATAGTATAGCAGATAGGGTCGTCGCATGCACGGAAACCAGTGGTGGCATTTGCCATTGTTGCAGTCTTTTCCCATGCAGCTGTGAAAAGGGAGCCAAACCTGTACTTGGTGATGCTCAGCTCAGGGTTCCGTCGCTTGAACAAGTTCGTTACTGTTTGAAAGTTGCATTTCAGACTTTTGTACACTGAACGATCAAGTGGTTGTAGATACTTAGTTGTGTGACTAGGTAGGCACACAAGTATAATGTCGTTGGTGATGCAATACTCCAATACTGCAGTGCTCTTGACATGGGATGCATGTCCATCAATGATGAGCATCACTTTGCCAGCTATCGCATGCTTGCGGAAAAAAAGAGCCAGTGCAAGAAGATGTCAGTGTTTATGTACGATGTGTCTGACATAGCAAGCTCTGAAGAAGGGGGAAGACCATCTTTAAACTCGTCCCGCTTTCTCTTTCCCTTCATTATGATATAAGGGGGAATATAATGTCCTGTAGCGCTGCAACACCCAACAACCGTCACATTTTCACCCCTCTCTGAGTCGGTAATGGCTATGACAGACTGCTTGCCTCTCGGGGCCAAAACAGTTCCAGGTCTGTTTATCATTGGAAGACCTGTCCGTCGACATTATAGATCCGTTCTGGAGCTTGATGTAGGTTTTCTCTGTCCAATATATCGCCAAGTATTTCGAAATATTTGGATATTTCTGTTCTGTTCATTCCGCTCGCTCTTGATTTTGAAAGTCCTTCAGCCTTTCGTGGCACAATGTTCGGGTGGTGGTTCAGGAAGCCAACCAACCAGTAGCGCCCTGCCAGTTTGGTTTCTTTATTGAAGTTGTGCGAAAGGTTGTTTCGTTCTGCATATTCGTATGCTAATGCACGGACATAATGGACGTAGTACGATAATAGGCGTACATTGCATGAATGAATGAGCTGCTCTATTACAGTACGGTTAGTGAAGTAGCTGATGTCGATTGTTGATGGTGTAGCGTGTTTGGGTGATTCGATGTGCATCTGTAGTTCTATTCGCGTTTATGTATTTGCGTCAGCATATGCATGTCAATTTGTATGTGCGAGCACGGTTTTAGACCAGGGCAAACAATGAATACAAGGAAGACATTGATATTGTTTTGACACGACACATATCATATAGTTTATTGACACGTTCTATCTATGACATGACCTATGACATGACGAGCATCAATCTATGACATCTATGACAATCTATGACAAGCACATGATCTATGACATGACGAGCATCAATGAGCCCCAGTGCGCACAAGATAGGCGCGCGTGGCTTCATGTATATTTTGCGAATACGCATAAATATACCTGTGCGGCTCGGTGCTATAACGCCGCAGCTCGATGCGTAGGTCCATTGGAGCAGCTTTGGTGAAGATCGCACGGCCCCGCTCATAGGTGCCAAGTGCTTGGCGCTCCATCTCTTCAAAAGTTTTGCGTATACCTGCTGCCTTCATAGTGCGAATGAGCCCAGCACCGAAGCGCTGGAGTTCTCGAATGCGAACTGTCGGTCCCGGGAATAGTAGAATCGATTTGATAGCAGCAGCACCTGCGTCGTCGGCGGCATCTTCATCAGCAGAAGGAACTTTGCTCATGTCCTCGATGAAACCCCATAGAATGTTGAAGTTCGAGTCGCTGTAGTGAACGAGTCGTTGCGCACGCTTGACGTTGTCGACGGAGATGCTTGTCGGTATAGGTGTGGCGAGTTCGTCTCGAACACAATGCTGCAATATGTGGAGAATGGCAGCGATCCGTACAATGAGGTCAATGCTTTTGACGTCAGTTACGGGTACGCCGCTGCTAACGTGCTCGTTAAAGTTAATACGTGGGGCCGTGATGATGTCAGTGAGGTATTGCTCGGCATCCGGGCAGAAACTGTAAAAAAATTCGTCGGCGTCTTCTCTGTGATGATGGCAATCGTAGACTTTGATGGCGATGCGCGCTGGCTCGTCATATCCAGCAGAAATCGGTCCAGAAAGCCGTCTCTCTTGCATGTCTGTTGTAGCGCCTGCAGGAAGAGATCCATCTGCATGCAGCCGCGATGCGAAACGTTGGCTGAGTGAGGTGATCGTACGAAGCGTGGCTATTGCGCGGTTATCGGTGATACGCGTTCCCAGCTTGTAGATAGACTGAATCTCTCCGGAATCTGGGTCGCCTGACGGTGCAGGAGGCCGCAGGAGATAAGCCCAAAACTCGTCGCGCCTGCTACTGTTATGCTGACATGGGAGAACGACTTACGTGACTCAATAACGCCTGTCTCGTCCTCATGTTTGAACATCGAGAGATTTTCCTGCGCGGCTTCTCCCGCACATCTCGTGGGTGCCCAGCTACAAAACGACGTTTTAACATGTGCTTGCGTCGCCCCGCTCCTCGGGCGACTATGATGACAAAGAGTTGAGAGCTTGACGTAAGGCAAGCTCTTCGACACTTCGATCCGCGACCTCGCATGAGTCTCCGGGCTGACTTAAGCTCAACAAAGGCGGTCAGGAGAAACATCGCATTGGAAGTGCACCATCGTTAGCCAACAGCATTCTATGAAATAGTCGGTCGACGTCATCGGGAGACGAAATCGTACCTGCAAGTGAGTTATCTTTTTTTTTTTCTTTTCTTGTCTTTATTTTTTTTTTTTTTTCTTCTTTGCATGCCAAAGCATGCGGACTGCGGCATCAACCTGCTGCTTCAGAGAAGCTGTCGATCCGTCGGTGCATATCGCATAGCCAAGTTGATAAGATCATAGCCTGTGGCCAGTGTATTTCGCGCAAATTGATAGTTCTCATAGCAGAAGTATAAATGGGTTCATAGTTTACACTGGCGAATACTACACATCCTGGTGGATGAAATAAGTAGGTCGAAGCACCCAAGCGAGGAGAAATCTATTGAAAAGCAGGGCGTCAAATTCCATTACTTCCTCATTTTAATCGAACATTTTCCTGGCAAGTTCCTCATTTAGCTCCTTATTTCGTGTGACAAATACCCCTATTTTTTCCTATTTTTGAGGGCCTTTTCAATTTCTGATACAGAATTGTAACTGAGTCCTTCTCAGAATGCAGAATTCAGCATTTTAGCGTTGACTCAATTTTTGACCCCCAAACCCCACCCCTTACTTCTAAATTAACCGTAATATTATAATACCTTTAACATCACAGATTTACTTTAATCAAGTCGCTTCTCCAAGTTGATCGTGGTAATGTATCCCCAGAGGGTGGTCCACAGGCGGGCTCCTGGACCCTCCCACTTCTTCTACCCCCCAAAAAACGGAAAACACACCATTCTGACTTAAATGCAATATCGCTTGGCCCCCATCCCCCAATCAATCATCACCATAATTCATCTCCATTATAAATAGATAGCTCGTGAATCTATACACACAATCTGAAAGTGAAAGGCAGGTATCCATTAATAAATAAACACAAATCGCATGAGGGGGGGATAGTTCGTGGTACCTAACAATATCGTGTACGCACTTGCATCTGCATATCTGTGCTAACAAATGTGTCACACGCACGACTGCATCTTCATCATCCAGCAGAAGGAACTTTTCTCATGTCCTTCCCGATGAAATACCACCATAGCAATGTTGAAGTTCGATTGCTGTAGTGAACAGAGTCGTTGCGCACTAGCTTCGACTTGTCTGCGGAGAATGCTTGGCGGTATAAGTGTCGCGTCGAGTTCCGTCTCTGACACAATGCTGGCCAATATGGATGGCACAATCCGACAATGAGTCAATGACTTTTGACGATCAGTTACGGGTACGCCCACCGCTGCAACGCGCTCGTTTAAAGATAATACGATGGGCCGTGAATGATCTCAGTGAGGCTATTGCTCGCATACCACCGGCCGAAACCTGTAAAAAATTTCGTCGGCGGTCTTCTCTGGATATTGGCAATCGTAGACGTTGATGGCGCATGCGCAAGCGTGGCTCGTCATCATCCAGCAAAATCGTCCGTCGAAACGCCGTCTCTCCTGCATGTCTGTCTGTAGCGCCT